ATCGACTCCCAGACGCTTGTCGACGCTAGTCGACGCTAAAGGCGGTATTACGAGGATACACACAAGGCTCCCATGATTTGAAACCGAAATGTTCCAATGTGTGGAATTGTAAAGAAGGAAGTGGCTGGAATCGGCTGACCAAGTGGGCAGCAAATGGCGGCAGCCGTGGCTCTGACCACCTCCTCCTCCTCCTCCTCCTCCTCCTCCTCCTCCTCCTCCTCCCCTCCTCCTCCTCCTCCCCCTCCACCCACCACCACCACCACACCACCCCTCCTCCTCTCCTCCTCCTCCTCCTCCTCCTCCTCATCCTCCTCCTCCTCCTCCTCCTTCTCCTCCTCCTCCTCCGCCTCCTCCTCCTCCCCCTACTCCTACTCCTACTCCTACTCCTACTCCAACTCCGCCTCCTCATTCTCCCCCTCCTCCTCCTCCTCCTCCTCCTCCTCCTCCTCCTCCTCCTCCTCATCCTCCTCCTTCTGTCTCCACCCCCACCCCCTCCCTTCCGTCCCGCTGCCTCGCAAGCTCCTCCACTCCCCCATCCTCTCCAGGCCGCGGACAACCCCTCGCAACGCACACGCGGGACGGCTACTGGCTGACGGCGCTGCCGCCCTTTGTCTCGTCCCCCGCAAGGCAAAGGTCTCCCAAGGTCCGCTCCCATCCCCCTCCGGCCCCCGCAGGCGGCGAAAGGTGGTAGCCCGAGGCAAGCACCGCCATCGACAGCTCAAAGATCAAGATCCATGGCATGAAGACCAAGAACGTGGAGCGCAACCAAGCGCAGTTTGACGACCTCACGGGACAGGTGGACCATCTCACCACCGACATATCCGAACTAAGGGCTAGCAGCGGGGCCTTGTACCAGAATCTGCAGAAGCCGAGCCAGGTATTGGTCGCCATCCAGGACACCGACGGGAAGGTCCCAGGCACTTCACCCAACAACGAGGTTAGCGTGGCGATCAGATCCTGTGCGCTAGAGAAGCCGATGAGGCGCGGCAAGTGCACCCAGCACCGCCAGAAGAAGCATTTCCAAGAGTCCTGCATGAACCTCCAGGCCAAGCGTAATTATCGGAATGCCTCGGTATTTCTTTTCCCCACCAGGCTCCCGAGGCCAGACCAGCCGCGGCCAGCATAGCAAACGAGCCAGCTCTGAAAACATGTCCAATCCGATGCTCGTCCCCGTCCTCTCCTCGTTCCTCGTCCTCCTCGTTCCTCACTCGCCATCGTCATCGTCCCCACTGCCTCTCCGACTCCGCCCTCATCCCCCTCCGGCTCCCCCTCGCCTGCGTCAGCACGGCGGTGCTCGTGGTGCCGTCTCCGGCATTCTTCTCGGACTTGTCCGAAGCCTGGCGTGGCAGGGGAGCAGGAGGAGGAGGAGGAGGAGGAGGAGGAGGAGGAGGAGGAGGAGGAGGAGAGAGAGGAGAGGCAGAGGGAGAGGGAGGAGGAGGAGGAGGAGGAGGAGGAGGAGGAGGAGGAGGAGGAGAAGGAGAAGGAGGAGGAGCAAAAGGAGGAGGAGGAGGAGAAAGAGATGGAGGAGGGAGAGGGAGGAGGAGGAGGAGGAGGAGGAGAAGGAGGAGGAGCAGGAGGAGGAGGAGGAGGAGGAGGAGGGATAAAGAAGAGGAGGAGGAGGAGGCGGCCTGGGGCGCGGGGCGGTCGAGGAGCACGCGGTCGACCACACCGTCATGCTCGTCGCAGCGGAGCCCCCGGGTATGCCCAGTCTGAGGGCCCCAGCCGGCATACCCCTCTCTGAAGGGCCCATTTCCCACCACCACCACAACAGATAGGAGAAGGAGGAGGAGGAGGAGGAAGAGGAGGAGGAGGACGAGGAGAAGGAAGAGGAGTTGGAAGAGGAAGAGGAAGAGGAAGAGGAGGAGGAGGAGGAGGAGGAAGAAGAAGAAGAAGAAGAAGACCTTCCCATTATCCCTTCTCACCAGTCCTACTTATGGTAGTGGTGGTGGAAAACTGGCCCATCACTCGCCCCCCCAAAGTGGCCGCTGTCTCAGGTAGCCAGCCACCCCTGGGGGACCGCCCCATTTCAGTGGCGGTGGAGGTGTCTGCCAGCTCCCGAGCATTGTGCTCGGGCTGCGGGAGAACCCCACACGATGTCGCAGCAACCCTCCATCCAAGTTCCATCTTCATAGGTCCCCACAAAAATGTGTTGCCATTGCGGGAAGTGCCCCATTGGAAGACAACCGTCTGAGAATCCTCAGCCGTGCCAAAACACCATTCCGGAGAATTCAACGCCGCGAATCAACGTGTCTGTTGCGTCTTGACCGTCCTGCATCATACCAACACCACTCCCGGACTTCAATACGGCGAATAAAAGCCACCGGACGAGGAGGAGGAGGAGGAGGAGGAGGAGGAGGAGGAGGAGCATCCCCCCAAGATGTCTTCATCCCCTTGACACAGACCTCTGACAGTGAGGCTTCGCAGAGCCATTGCCCCTGCTCTGGCCCTCATGAGCCCCACAGCCGTGCTCTTACCCCAAAGGTCTTTCGCTCTCGTGGTCTGTTGCGTGATTGGCAAAAGATCGAGGGCGACGGCAGGAGAGCACAACTCGACCCTAGACTCCACATCCAGACGCCCGATAATAAACAAGGAGGAGGAGGCACCCGGCCAGCGGCGCCGCGGGAGCCGGGCGCGGACTGGTGCGCGGGGCGCCAGAAAACGACGAGGAGGCCGCCGCCGCCGCCGCCCAGGCGGCGCGCTCAGCCCGGGGGCCACAAGCAGGAGGAGGAGGACCAGAACTAACCCCAGCAGAGCACCCTAATGTGGCGGCGCGCCCAAGGGGGCAGGGGGAGGGGGGAAGGCTTCTAAGAAGCAGGGGTGCTTCTAAGAAGCCTTCCCCCCTTCCCCCTGCCCCCCTCTGCGCGTGGCTGGAGAAAGTAGACCAGAACTAACCCCAGCAAAGCACCATAATAGCAGCGAAGGTGAAGAGTGGGGTCGAGGATTAGGAAGGTGGTCGAGACACACTGCCATGTGCACCGCAGTGTGATTTCTACCAGGGGCCGTGGCCAGGCGGACCAACATGCAGCTGGCATATGGACGGGAGCACGACTCCCGAATCACAGGTGAAGAAGTCTGAGGCGAAAAGGCTGCCGGCCCGGGCGGTCTAGGGCTCACCGCCCCTCATCCCTGTGGGACTCGTCTACTGTCCTCTCTCACTTCTACTATGTCGACCGACAGGTTCCCAGGGAGATCTAATAAGCGCGAAGAAACTCTATCTCTACTGTCTTCGCCAGGGGGGAACTCGAGCGAGACGCCATCAGGGAGTTGACGCGGGACGCGCCAGCGACGCTGCAACACACACTTTGTGGGTCGTGGGCCCGGCGAGCGCGCAGGCGTGGTCGAGCGGCACAGGGCGGCGGCGCGGCGAGCTGTGCACTGCAGGAGATGGCAGGAGGACTTGGCGACGGGCGAAAGCAGTACAGTCGTCGGCCTGACCTAAGGCACGAAGAATAAGGAACAAAGTCCTTTTTCCAAGGAGTAACGCATAAGGAACCATACATAAATGGCGCATTAGGAACGGTAAATAACGCATGCAAACCTAAGAAACAACCGAGCCCCTTTTGAAAAGTAAGTCTTCCTTATTCAAGCCGCTTACTGTAGGACGGCGGCTAAAGTTGATCAGGGTCAGGCCCTCCCAGAGATTCACAAGCACAGCAAAAGCAGATCGGCTCTTGACGCAGGAGGGCGCTGGAGGTAGAGCGGGGGCCGAGTCGCAAAAAAACGCATTAGGTTTAACAGAGACAGTGGTCGGGCGAAGAGTGGTCGCGCACTAGACGCGCGCAAGACGACTTGTGCAGAGAAGTGTTCGTCCGACAGATGTGCGAGTACGAGCCCACCAGTGTGGCCAAGACCTCGCAGAAGACAGAGCACAAGACCTCTAGGACCACTCTTTCTGATGTGTATATACAAATATATGTGTGTCAAAACCAAAACAAAACAAAAACACGACTAAACATATCTATATATATATATATATACATACATACATACATATATAGGCGTGCGTCGGTCGCGGAGGGGAGGGGAGGGAGTGGGAGTGCGGGCCCCCTCAGGCCGTGTCTTGCGGCGGCGCGCCGCAGCCCAAATTTCGGGGGAATGCAACAAGGGGGGCACGTGCAGCAGCGCGACGCCGTCCCGTCCCCAGTCACGCTGGTCGACTTGCGGAAGCGGGGAGGCGCTGCTGCAGGGCCGCCCGCCCCACCTGCGCTGAGCTGTGCGTGCCACGATCTCGCGCCGGAAACTGACCTCGCCGACTCCACAGCGCTCGTTCGACCTCGCCGACCAGCTGCCACCACTGCCCGCGCACGCTGACGCCAGCGCAGTACCGCAGCCGACCACCACCAGCCCCGATGTCGCCTGCTACTACTCGACCCGCATTGGCGATCGTTCTTTCTACTGCTTCCCTTCTTCGCACGCGCTGATCCCAGCAGTATAGCTGATCGCGTTTGGCTCTAGTTTCGCCTCTCTCAGCTCGCCCAGCAGCAATAATGCGTGCTGCCAGCGTGCAGATTTACCGCAAGCGCTGATCCCAGCGCTGTAGCTGATCACATCAGGCTCCAACCTCAAGTTCCACATTTCGCTCAGCAGCGACAATGCCATCGCCCATTGCGCACCTTTCTCGCACGCGCTGATTGCAGCACTGCATGTGATGACGTTTGGCTGCAAGCTGCCATGCCGCAGCTCACTGAGCAGCGACAACGCTCCCTGCCACGTTCCGCCCTTTTCGCACGCACTGATTCCAGCATTGTAGGCTGCGACGTCCAGTTCCAGCCTCGCCTGCCGCAGCTCGATCGACAGAGACAGGGCCAGACGCCACTGCGCACTTGTTTGGCACGCGCTGATGACAGCGGAGCAAGTGATTACATCAGGCTCCAGACTCGCTTGCCGAAGATCACACAACAACGATAGCGCCTGCTGCCACTGACCCCCTGCGTCGCAGGAGCTTATCCCAGCATTGTAGCTGACCAAGTCTGGCTCCAAGACCGCCTCCCTCAGCTTGATCAGCAACGATAGCGCCTGCTTCCACTGCCCGCCTTTCTCGCACGCGGTGATTCCAGCATTGTAGCTAACTGGGGTTGGACCTGCGGAACACCGCCCCACCCCCGTCCCGTCTGTGACCTACTTCTTGTCCTCACGCGTTGCCCACGGCGCCTCCTACTCCGCATCCCTCTTCCTCTCCCTCTCTCTCATCCTCTCCCCCTCCCTCCCCCTCCCTCCCTCCGGCCCTCCCTCCTCCCCCTCCCCCCCTTTCCCCCCTCCCCCCCTCCCATCCCCCCCCCTCCCCTCCCGCCCTCCCCTCCCTCCCGCCCTCCCTCCCCCCCTCCCTCCCACCCCCCCATCCCTCCTCCCTCCTCCCTCCCCAGGCCTGCATGTGTGGCCCTGCTCCTCACCTTCCGAATGCTGGTCGGCGCGGGCTCCCGCCGCCCGTGGCCAGCACCCTCACGGGACGGGCACCCCCTCGTCTGAAGGCACCTCGCCCCCCCACGGTGCCCGCGTCGTGAAGAGTCACGACGGGCGGTTTTTGACAGCGGCCGGTCTCTGGGGGCCCTCGCGGGGCCCCGAGGCCGTCAGAGAGCTGCTCGGGAGGAAAAACTGGTCCCGGGGAATGGGTCGAGACATGCGGGGGTCCGCGCATGGCAAGAAGCAAGGCGTCGCACGTCTGGGAACCGATCCCCATCCGCACTGGCACGGCCCTGGCCCCACTGACCACCTCCTACCCACACGCCGGGATACCTGCTGCTCCCTTGGGGGCTCGCAGGACCCCTCTCCGCCTGGGGGGGAGGGTCTGCTGGGGGTGAGATGCCATGGCCCTGTGGGGATGGCTCAATCAGACGATGCTGATGCTCCCCCATCCCCATCCCCAGCCCTCTCCTCTGTTTTTGTTTCTGTGTTGTTGTTGCTGCCGAAATTGCCCTCCTGGGGAAGTCAAAACTCGACGGGCTGGCATCCCCCACTTGACGCACCCAGGCGAAGGCTAGCGACAGGGCTCCCGTCTCCTGGGGGGCAAAAGGATACAGATACTGGTACTCCGAAGACCTCTTCATGGGCGCAGTATGGCCAGAAGTTGACGGAGAATCCAGCCGTGACAACGAGGACTCACCAGGACGAGCAGCGGCATCAGTACTCTGAAGCTTTTGATAGTCGCCCGCCCCTTGGAATGCCAGAGGGTGTTGGCCAGGGCCGTGGGGTTGCCCAGGCGATTAGCGGTTCTCGCTGTGTGCGGGGGGGGCATCATGCAGGGAGGGGGGATCAAACGCCGCCTCCAGGATTGGCATTCAGGGGGTGTTGGCCCGAAAGCATCCGAAACGGGTGCGAGGGGGGGTCGGATTCGGGAGGTGGTGCCGAGGGGGGCTGGCCGCGGCCCGTTTTCACGTCCCGCCACCACCGTGAAGAGTAAGGAAACAGGGAATGGATGGTCCTCCTCTGATTCCTCGGCGCCGACCTTGGCTTGGGCGCTTTCTCGCCCGAGCCGAAGACTGCCAACCGGGGGGGGCCCGGAGGGAAGGCTCCTCGGAGGTGCCCTGCGGCCCACAGGACAACCCCAGAGGTGCTCAGCGGTGCTGTCGTGGTTCTGCATGTTCTCTTGGGCACATATTTTCTTCGGGGTCCTCATCCTCTTCCTCCTCCTCCTTTTCCTTTCCTCTTCGTCCTCCTCCTCCTTCTCCTCCTCCTCCGCCTCCTCCTCCGGATAAAACAGCGGGCCTTAATCTCAACAAGGCATGCGCTGATGCAATTACCCTGCACAGACATCCAAAGGCAAGAAGTATGCTGGTATGTATGTTTCAGGGAGGCCAGGCGTTTGGCAGAGCAGTTCAAGATGGCTGGTACTTCCGTAACTCGCATGCCCCAACCTGGATGGTGCCATGTAGCTCAGTATCCTGTATTCCATGGTCCCGGGCAGCAATCTGGATCTCACGGTTGTTCACTTTGGCTACGACTGCACAGTGAAATGATTCCAGGCAGGCAGGACATTCGGATTCCCAGGCAGAGGTTCACAGTAGCGGCGGCCTCTCCTACCCGACTGGTGGTCAGTGTCGGCTGCCTCATCAACTATTACTTTCGATGTGGCACAATCACCGCACTCTGGCCATGGCCAGCGGAAAAAATCAAGACTGGTAGAAGCTGACCACCAGTACTTGGAAGAGAGCAGCTGTGCAGGCCGACTTGTTTGCTCCTCGTGATCGACGCCAACGCTACAGTCGGATCAACTGTCTCGGGATCGGTTGAAAAGATTTGGGCTGAATCGTAATCGTTTCGCGGGACGTGTTTTCACTAGATAGTGGGGATTCTGGACTTTCGCTTAACACATACGTCCTGTTCGCGCAAAGCGCTGGCTAGTGTCTCCCATGCCGCAGTTGGAATTGAAGCTGCTACGCGACCCCGATTGCACCCAGGTTTTCTCTGAACACGTGCTGACATGACATACGCCGTCCTGGGCGGCCCCACCCATCGAGCACTGCACCGTCGTCACACACCATGAGCGAGAAGGCATGGACAGGATTCTCGTCAATTAAGATACCAAGAGCAACAAAGTTGGCATCGCTGCACAAACCCAGACATATGTGTCTTCACTTCGAGGTCATCGTCGAGGTAGTAGTCGAATTGGATCGATGGTTTCGAAACTCTGCTTGCCAGCTGTGCGTAGGTCGTCACTTATGCTTACCAGTATCAGACAGGAAGACACCAGCGTTGACCAGGACTTGATTCCAGCGGGCGCCCACCCCGTTTTGGCTTCTGCAAGAGAAGCAGGCGACATGCACCATCCAGTCCCCTTTCCCCCTCTTCTCTGGGCCCGTCGCCGCCCCCCCCCGCTTTTCCAGGGCGCCCCCCTCAAGAGCAACGCTGTCATTGAAACAAAGGGAAGCCCTTCGTTTTGATCCCTCCCCTGCCGGGGGGGGGGATCCCAGGTGGGGTGCCGGGGGGGGTCCCGCGTCAGATACGACTCCCCCCCTGGGGGTCCCCGGGCCCAGACAAAGCCTCAGACGGGCCAAGAGCCGAGGTATACCTTGCCCCAGCCCTGGCCGTGGCCCCAGTCCAGCCCCAGCCCCGGCCCCGCTTCCAGCCCCGGCCTCGGCCTCGGCCGGTCCCGGCCCTGGCCCCAGCCCGAGTCCCAGCCCCCAGCCCCGGCCCCGGTCCCGGCTGGCCCTGGCTCCCGCCCCGCCGGCCCCCGCCCTGGACCCAGTCCCGGCCTCGGCCCCGGCCCTGGCCCCGGCCCTGGCAGGCCCCGGCCCGGCCCCGGCACTGGCCCCGGCCCCAGTCCCAGCCTCGGCCCCAGCCCCGGCCCCGGCCTTGGCCCTGGCTCCCGGCCCCGGCCCTGGCCCAGGTCCCGGCCCTGGCGCCCTCCAAATCTAACAACCCCTCCTCAGCATCCCAAATGCCCAAGATGCCGAAGCTACCTTCAAAACAACGAACGAAGCCTGGAAGTCGCCCCAGGAGGGTTCTAAGACGCCCCGAATGGTCCTGATAGGCAACTGGCGTTGTCGTCAACATCGTCAACATCCTCGCCATTATCTCCTCCTCATGATCGTCACGCTCTACTCGCCCCTGCCCTCCCTTCGTGCACCCCCCGCGACCCTGCTCGCCTCACTCTACTCCTATTCATCCCCCCCTTGTGCTCCTACTCCTCCTCATTCACCTCTTCTTCCTGTCCCCCTCCTCATTTTCCTCCCCATGCTCCGCGCCCCCCTCCCAAACCTCAGGGTCGGCGGCACTGGCCGCAAGGCCTTCGCAATATACGCAACGGTCGGGGGGGCTTTGTTACGCCGCCTACTGAATTTGCTCATGTGCGGGCTCAAGCTTTTCAATCTCCAGTACTGCAACCACATAATGTAGCTGCCCATAGCCAGCCCCGCAATGAGATTGACCAAACGTTTAACGAGTTAGCTGATCCTGCTGGGGACGCACTGTCGTCTCGGGAGCTCGGAGACCTCTTTGTTACCTTAAGAGAGCCAGCAGCAGCAGGCAAGCTCCAAGGCTGCTGCCGGCCCCCAAGCTGTGGCTCCCGGGTGGGGACCTTGCGCGGACTTGCGATCCGATCCGATTATCCTCCTCACCATCCTCCTCCTCCTCCTCCTCCTCATCCTCCTCCTCCTCATCATCCTCATCCTCATTCTCATCCTCCTCTTCTTTCCCCCTCCCCCTTCCCTTCCTCCTCGCACTCCTCCTCCTCCTCCTCCTCCTCCTCCTCCTCCTCCTCCTCCTCCTTCTACTCCCCCTCCTCCTCATCATCATCCTGCGCCTGCACGTTCTCTTGGATATTTTTCGAAGGTGCGAGAACGACGATATTGCGTCGTACCATATTGAGGTTCCCTTCAGGCCCCGCTCCAGCGTGGTACAGTGCAGAACGTTTCGGCCCTGAGGGCCGGAAAAGCTATGCACCGTAGCATTCCTGGGTCGAGGATTGACGACGCCTCGGGAGACGCCAGAGCGGTGCGGTACATACGGGTCGTCCGCGGAGAAGGCGGTCGGGGGGCCCCAAGGTTCCAGCAGCGGAGAGGGCGGAAGTAGCAGGAGGAGGGAGGACACCTGAAGCTGCGCAGTACAAACGACGTCTGGCTCCACCTTCGCTCCCCACATTTCAACCATCAATGATACCGACCGTTGCCACTGTCCGCACTTCGCACACGCGCTGACTCCAGCACTGTAGACGATGACACCCGGCTCAAGCCTCGCTTCCCACACGGCACTCAGCAACGCCAGCGCCTGCTTCCACTGCCCTCCTTTCTCGCACGCACTGATTCCAGCACAGTAGCTGACAACGTCCGGCTCCAGCCTCACGTCAAAGAGCTCGCTTAGCAGCAACAACGCTTGCTGCCACTGCCCGCCTTTCTCGCACGCACTGATCCCAGCATTGTAGCAGAGAACGTTTGGTTCCACCTTCGTTTTCGGCATCTCGTATAACAGCGACAGAGCCTGTTGCCACTGCCTGCCCTTCTCGCATGCGCTGATTCCAGCACTGCAGCAGAATACGTTCGGCTCCACCGAGGCATCCCGCATCTCCCCGAGTACGGAGAGCGCATGCCGCCATCGCATACCTCTTCCACAAGCGCCGATAGCGGTGTTGTACAGGATTGAGCAGACTTGCGTGCGCGAAAGCACCGCATCTCGGAAAAGTTCTAGCGCTGCGATCCACTGCTTTGCCTCGCCGTAGCTCTTGAGTGCGACTGCGACAGAACCAGCATCACGGTGAGATCCTGACTGCCTCACGCTCCAACTGCTTTCCGTCGTGGCTACTGCCGCGGCCGAGGCCCCATCAGACAAAGCTATATTTGGGACTGGCGGGCAACCACCAGAATGGACCTGAACGGAGCGCCTGAGCAACTCGAGGACGCGGGAGAACAGGGGAGAAAGGAGAGGAGCACGGCAGGCCTGCACGACTCCGGCCACACCATGTGGACCGGAGCACTTTAAATATTCACCGCCGCCTGTTCGTCGCCAGCGGCTCTCGATTGTGTCTCGGCAGCACGCTGACTCCAACGAGCTCGCTCTCCGCGCTGAGGCCGTAGCGTCGGAGGGCATAGACGCGCGATGCTTCTATCGGTGCGTCACCGTGGATGCAGGTCGTCGCTGCCCAACCGCTGAAGCTCCGTCAACGATGTACGGCAAAGCTGCATGCATGGCGAAAATGAAACGCATACCCGCCAGTCGGAAGACGCACTTAGAATCGTGAAGTAGGACGGCGCTTGAAGTAGATTGGGATCTGGCGATCCAAGAATAACTACTTACCAGCGTGTACTGGTTTCCCTGGCCTGGCCCTCTGCCGCGAGAGTGCAGCGGCCTGCTGCCCGGTCGGGCAGGAGGTCCAAAGCTGAGCCTCTGCGCCTGCCGGCCGAATCCTACCCCAGAGGCTGGCAAGGTGAACTTCTGCGGGCAATGCCTGACGTGCAGCAACATTGAAGGGGCACAGGGACACACAAATCAGTAGACACAAATTTCCGCTTTTGCCATATGTTCATACTTCCTGGTTGCTCGCCGTCCCCTCCACTTCGCAGATTCCCATATTTTCATTTGTGCCTAGGTGCATTTTTCCCTCCAGACTGACGCTCAGCATCATCGCACCCACACAATGCCGCTCTCGTTTGTTCCTCTCTCTCTCTTTCTCTCTCTCTCTCTCTCTCAGGGGATGCCTCCTCAGGTCACGTCCTGGTCCTCGCCCCCACGTTGCTACTCATGGTGTCACTGGGGCTTTGATGCGTGCTCTTGGAAACTACTTGTTGGGAGGGAAAGATTTCACAACGCCCTAATCTGGCCCGCATTCTGCCCTCAGTGGAGACAACAAAAATCGCTCAACACTCAAAAAAAGAGGCCATGAGGGGCCCCCAGAACTTCAGAAGGCCCGACGAGACGGAAGGACGGAGGAAGAATCGCGCATTCCGCGAACATACCTGCTACGAGGGATCGGCCGGGAGAGTGCACAGAGACGGCTCGAGGAGAAGGAGGGCGAGGAGGAGGAGGAGAAGGAGGAGGAGGGAGGAGGAGAGAGGAGGGAGGAGGAGGGACGGTGGAGGGAGAAGGGAGGAGGGAGGAGGAGGAGGGAGGAGGGAGGAGGGAGGGAGGAGTGAGGAGGGAAGAGGTTGGTTGGTTGGTTGGTTGGTTGGTGACCTCCCAGCGAGGTGGGGCCCAACTGGCGACCGACAGCAACCCCTTAGCGTCAGCCCAGGGATGGATGAGACCACTCTCGGGAAGCAGCCCTGGGAGAGAGGGGGAGGGCACGAGGACTTGCGTGCCACCGTGCCCAGACCTCCCTCAGTTTACCAGGCTCCCTCCGGGGAGGTGCCACGCCAAAAGCCGGAAGACAAACGCTAGAATTGGGTATTCCTGGGGAGGAGGCATCAACGGCCCTCCGGCAGGGATCCTCGCCCGGTCTCGACTCCGCCCTACGCCAACGCACAACGGATGTACGAGGCTGGACGGATGGAGGGAGAGAAGATCAGAGGGGGGGGGCACGGCACGCGCAGCCGGCCCGTCCCAAAAGGCATCCCACCCCAGCCACGACCGGCTCCAAGGGTCCACGCCGAGGTCCAGGTCGGCGCCCGACCCCCCTCGCCACACTCCAGAAACAGCCGCAACAGCGTCCCCCGCTCAGAGCGCTGGGGAGGAGGCGCGGGCTGCGGGGAGGGAGGGGGGCCCAACGCCGACCCAGGAGTTCCACACAGACCTCCAAGAGGGAACCGACTAGGGGAGGGAGGAAGGAGAGAGGGAGGCAAGGAGCGATCCAACCTCCGCTCCATTAGGGCCCACCCCAGAAAAAATGGGCCCGAAGCGCACCCCGGCAGGCCTGGAGGCACTCCCCCGACATTCCTGGCAGCCAGCCGCGCCCGGCGGCCACCGAGGCGGGCCCAGCGGCCCTCCCGGGCCTCCCGGGCAGTTTTCGCAATACTAAACTAAGGCATGCCTGGTACCTCAAAAACTGCTCGGGGATCCCCGGCAGGGCCAGGCCGCGCCCGGCGGCCACCGCGACGGGCCCACCAGCCCCCCCGGGCAGATTTTCCCGTTCCAAA